ACCGTATGGTCGGGGGAATGTCCTTCTGGCCCCTCAGGGGGTGGCCCCGGCAGGAGCCGCTCCATCCCTAGGCAGGTGGCCCAATGCTTGGGTGCCTCTAGGGGGGATTCGAAAATCTGCAGGTACTTCTATGCCTATATCCTGCATGAAGTCCCTGGGGTCTGTTGTGGGCAGCAGCACCGGCGGTCTCGGTCCGGTGAATACCAGCATTTTAAAGGGGTGTCCCCATGCGAGATTTAGGCCTTTGGCTATGATTAAATCATCGATGGGCTTCCATTCACGTCTCCTAGCTAACGTGGCAGGTGCTATATCTTGGTAAAGATGTAGCGTGGATCCGTCAAAAGTGTAATTGTGGTGTCGTGCGCTTTTGATGATGGCTTCTCTTGATCACGTCTCTTGGTGGTCCGTCCCAAGGGCCTTTTGCTCCTAGTGCCCTGTGGGCCCTGTTGATTGTCCACAGGTGTTCAGGTATATCAGGTAGTTGATCTCTAAACAGTTTTGTCAGCACTTGTTGCAGCTCTGTTTCTTTTACTTTTTCAGCGAGGCCTTTTATTCGCAGGTTATTTCTTCTTGACCTATTAGAAGCGTCTTCAATTTCAGCTTCCAATTCCGCAACTCTTGTGAGTAAGTTGTTTGTGGCTGTGGCGGCTTCGTTGTGGGCCACCACGTGGTCCATTCTCCATTCGAGGACCTCAGTGCGCTGGCCTACTGATTGGATCTCTGCTTCTGACTTATTTTGCAGAGCGTTCGAGTTCCCCTGCAAGGTATTGCTTCACTTCAGCCAGCGATTGCAGTATTTCAGCGTTTGCTGATTGCTGTGGCAGGTGATCTAGTTCCCTGTCGTGTGGGGAGCCCGGGGAGACTGTGCGTGTGTGTCCACCGCTTGCTGCCGTGGCGTCATTAGCAAGTCCGCGACCGTTGGGGCTCCATCTTTCGTTTTTTTACCGAGTTTTTTGTTCAAGGCCATTGTCCTTGCCTTCCCTGCTAGGTCGGCGTATCCGCAGGTACTTTTACTGGGGTAGATAGCACTTTGCTTTGCGTTTTGGATCGTCTGAGACGGAGAGCACTCTGCCTAAGCAGCCATCTCGCTCGGCGGTCAAGCCATGCCCCCCAAAAGTAGAACATATTTAAAGTAAAAATAATTTTTTAAAAAGGTTCTTTTCTTTTAGAATGAGTGGATTTATTCAGCAAGTGAATTTTGGTACACCAACAATCTGCTTGCAAGATTTAAGTAAAAAATAACAAAATTGGCAAAAATCTTTCAAGGTTTGCACAATTTCTCTAACTGTGTTATTATGTTCTGCATTGTGCAAAACAGTTGCAAACACACAAAGCGTTGGAGGGCTTTTTTCCCCACAACTTGGCTACATTTGAGGTCTATTGGTGTATACATTAATTTGACCTTCTGTGGCTTTGTCATATGCAATTGGCACAGCAGTAAAAACTACACCCACACCTGCAACTGACATTGTGAAATACACACACACACACACACACAATTCCAGGATTCAAGAAAAGTGCATCATAAGAGCTATTTACTTACAAATTCATCAGATCCATGTAATGGCTGAATTTATACCTATCAGAATGGGAACTTGTCATCCACACGATTTGTGAATAGCAGGTTCACACTAAAACATTGTAAAAAAATAAATGAGAACTTATTTTTGGTAGAAAATACCAAAACATCTAACACTTGAAATATTCTACATAAATGTAAAGTAAAATTACCTATTTGAAATCATGGTAACAGCAAATATTCAATCAAGACATTAACAAATGGATTGTAGTATTGTGTCGAATACATTTTTTTCCAGAAGTTCATGGTCTATCTTTCAGTGAATATTGCTCTAAAGGACAATTATACTAGCAAACCTTTAGATAAAATTTGACATTTGCTTTATGTATATATTGATAGTCCTCAGATAACAAATCCCTTGGCAGCACAGAGAAGTGGAATTTCTGTCTTCCAACATCCAAAAAAAAAAAAGTGATGGGCAGGAAGCTTTGTTTTTTAACCTCTAGACCTGCCATGGGCAAATGTCATGACTGCTAATGTAAGGATAGGGCCAAGGCACGAACCATGTGGTCTGCAGCTACAGCCAGTGCAGGGCACAGTAAATGCTCCCTTGCGGTCCGGTGCCGCCCCCACCCCCTTCTTTTTTTTTTTTTTTTAAACATTTACCCTTGCCTTTTTAATATTTCTTGCCACATACATGGCTGGACACTCTGCATCACCCCACCAGCACCTGAGGGTTGTTGAAATAGAGATTTCTGGGAATGTCAAAGGCAACTCTCACTTGCCCCTGTTCTCACATTTTAATCTTTCCACCCATTGGCCATCCTCTCAGTATTTTAATTTGTTCATATTCTCTGATAAATAGTGTGTTTCATACACTGAAGACAGTACCATCTATATAATTACAAGTAAATAATATTGTTGAAATAAAGTTCCGTCTCTCAGATCTACATTTATCAAGCCTCGAGTTATTTGGTTTAAATCCTTTTTTGTCTTTGTTGTATTATGCATGTTCCTGTTATAAGAGTAGCCAACATTTTAATATATTGTTTCCATGATTCAAGCAATGCATAAATATCTTCCTTTAAACTTAAATTTTAGATTTATCCAGTCTGTAAATTCTAAATCTGAGGACCTTTTGTGAACAAACTACTAGCATTAATCCAATTGTCTGTGATTTTATGCAGGACAAAAACAAAACAATAGGAGGTTTTTAAAAGCAAATAGCCTTTAAAAGCATCTCAGGATTGTCAAACTTTATGCATAACACAGTAACACTGGTTTTATAGTGTTTTTGAAAGTTACAGGGTCAAATAAGTTTTGGCCATTTAATTTTTTTCATTGAAATTTGCCAAATTGGTTATGTTGCCTTAGAGACCGTATGGTAGCCCAGGAATGAGAATTACCCCATGCGGGCATACCATTTGCAATAGTAGACAACCCAAGGTATTGCAAATGGGGTATGTCCAGTCTTTTTTAGTAGCCACTTAATCACAAACACTGGCCAAAGTTAGCGTTCATATTATTCTTTTTGCATTTTTCACACACAAACAAAATATAAATGCTAAGTTTGGCCAGTGTTTGTGACTAAGTGGTTACTACAAAAGACTGGACATACCCCATTTTGAATATGCTAGGTTGTTTACTTTTTCAAATGTTATGTCATGGTAGGGTTAATTTTCATTTCTGGGCTGCCATACTGTCTCAAAGGCAACATTCTGGCAAATAGCAATTTACAAAAATGGAAACTGGCAAATCTTATGTTTGACCCTGTAACCATAAAACCTATACTTGAGGTGTCCTGTTGTATTTGTGAGACATTACTCTACACATAGAATGTGTGTGTGTATATATATATATATATATATATATATATATATATATATATATATATATATATATATATATATATATATATATATATATATATACACATACATACATAAATACATATATACACATACACACACATAATATATATATACATACATACACACACACGTATTTTATTTCATATATAATAAAATAAATTGTTTTATAATACATAATATATTTGATGATTTTTTAAATATATATACACACACACACACACACACACACACACACACACTATATGCTGCCAGCTCCATAGACTTCCATTGCAGCCATGTGATCATGGTGACCACATAGCCCTGGAGAGGACAGAGCTGCAGCAGGGGGACTGCTTGGATCTCGGTCCAGGTGATTCCTCAGGTCATTTTAGCTGCGGACGTGCAGGGTACGTTCGTGGTCATTAACTGCAGTTTTTTGTCGGACGTACCCTGCACGTCCGAGGTCAGGAAGGGGTTAAAGCCAATTGATTCAATTCATCTCTATGAGGAGATGTTGATTGGCCAGGGCTATCTTTGACTTGTGCTGGCTCTGCACCTGATCTGCCTCCTTGACATTCTCAGCCAATCCTATGGGGAAGCATTGTGATTGGCTCAGACCACTACTTCTGATTAGGTCAGCAGACAGAGGCAGTTCACAGGCAAGCAGGGGCAGAGGTAGCAGCTGCAGATTTGAATACAAGATAGATTTTACTACATTTAGGGAGGCAAGATTTTGGTTTCAACACTATAGGGTCAGGAATACATGTTTGTGTTCCTGACCTCATAGTGCTCTTTTAAGTCACATAATGATGGAGAGAAGACAATTAAATGTCTAAACAGAATATCCGTATTTACCTATTGGTTCTAAATATGTAGGTCTTGAATACTTAAGTCTCCAAGAGAGTAAAAAAATTTAATTACCGGTTTAAATACCAGTTGTTGATCTGCATTTAATTGTTTTACAATGCATGCTTTCTGGAAAACAAGCAAGCTGTGGATGTTAGGATTAGGGACCTCACTGGTATAAATTATGAATGCTCAAAGCCAAAAATAATCATGTACATGTTTTATGCCATTAACCTTTAATATAGGTCTGATCTACCTCATTCTGCCGTCATGTAACATTACAGAACTTGCGCTACTTTAGTAGCAGAAAGAGAGGCTTATTGATTATTTAAAAGCTATATGATTACTTTAAAGGACCACTATAGGCACCCAGACCACTTCAGCTTAATGAAGTGGTCTGGGTGCCAGGTCCAGCTAGGATTGACCCTTTTTTCTGTAAACATAGCAGTTTCAGAGAAACTGCCATGTTTACCTATGGGTTAAACCAGCCTCTAGTGGCTGTCTCATTGACAGCCGCTAGAGGCGCTTCCGTGCTTTTCACTGTGATTTTCACAGTGAGAAGAAGCCAGCGTCCATAGGAAAGCATTGAGAATGCTTTCCTATGGACTGGGTAAACGCGCGCGCGGCTCTTGCCGTGCATGCGCATTCAGCCGGTGACGGAAGAAGAGGGAGGAGAGCTCCCCGCCCGGTGCTGGAGAAAGAGTTAAGTTTAACCCCTTCCTCCCCCTAGAGCCCGGCAGGAGGGGGACCGTGAGGGTGGGGGCACCCTCAGGGCACTAGAGTGCCAGGAAAACGAGTATGTTTTCCTGGCACTATAGTGGTCCTTTAAGTAGCATTAACCTCCTGGCAATCCCTTTACATCATGGATGGTGTTGGCAAATAATGTGTCATTAAAGGACCACTATAGTGCCAGGAAAACATACTCGTTTTCCTGGCACTATAGTGCCCTGAGGGTGCCCCCACCCACAGGGTCCCCCTCCCGCCCGGCTCTGGAAGGGGGAAAGGTGTTTAAACTTACCTTTTTCCAGCGCTGGGCGGGGAGCTCTCTGCCTCCTCTCCTCCTCCGATCCTCCTCCTGGGCTGAATGCGCACGCGCAGCAAGAGCTGCGCGCGCATTCAGCCCGTCGCATAGGAAAGCATTTACAATGCTTTCCTATGGACGCTTGCGTGCTCTCACTGTGAAAATCACAGTGAGAAGCACGCAAGCGCCTCTAGTGGCTGTCAATGAGACAGCCACTAGAGGATTAGGGGAAGGCTTAACCCATTCATAAACATAGCAGTTTCTCTGAAACTGCTATGTTTATAAAAAAATGGGTTAACCCTAGAAGGACCTGGCACCCAGACCACTTCATTAAGCTGAAGTGGTCTGGGTGCCTAGAGTGGTCCTTTAAGTCAATGAAAAAAATAAACGGGTTCCATGACTTACAGTCAAATTGTGTCACTGTTTTAATGAAAATGGTCAACCGGCAGGGGGGGGGGACATTATGGGATAGTAGTTTCCAACATTGTAAGATTTAATACGGGGATATACAGATCATGCATTTTTGCGTTGCAGACTTGGACATAAGCAAATTCATGGATGAAAAAGTAAAACCATGCATGAATCTACTGGGCAAGTTAGAAAAAGACTGTCTGTCTTATGTCCTTCAAATAAATGTTTGGTACCACATTGGTGCACACTAAAACTCGAACCGCAGACCTCATTTTTTCTATGTTTATTTGGTGTACACTGCTGGAACTACAGTGGGAGGAGCGGCAGCTCATGAGAAACTGTTCTTATTTTCAATCCTTTTGGTACAGCAATTACCTGTGCCTCTACTCCTTTTTTCTATGTTAGAAAAAGATGATTGTTGATTGCTGTTATATTACATGAATTGATTGTTTATGTGAGAGGTCTCAGTCCAGACCATGTGAGATGTTATTACAGAAATACAAGATACAGAGTTGTTTTAGTGGACACTCGATCACTTTAAGATGGAGGCCGCCATGCGAGAAACCGAGCCAGAGTGGCCGCGTGTATGGTGGGCACAGTTTAGGACGGAGCAAGGACGATAAGGTGTCCAATTTGCAAGTTTATAGGATTCTGTAATTCCGTCTGAAAGGGTGGAGACTGGTCATGTGACATCTCAGTCCTTTAATTCCACCAACTCCCTCCAGTGTTTGCTCAGTTGTCCTGTAGCCTAGTAGTATAGTGTATATTATTCATTACCAGTATTTGACTTTCTCCTCTGATTTTGCGGACACCTGCCCAGAACTTTGAACTGTCTTTGACCCCCGCTTCTCAGCCCTGCCCCTTTGGATCAGACGCCTGGCTACTCCTCTGTTACTAAAGCATCACAGACCCACCAACACCTTGTCTCCACAACCCTCCCTGTGGGTTGTGTTTGTGTCTCCCTGTGGGAGGGAGTGATTGAGTGTCAGTGTGTTCGCGCACGGCTTTTAGGGTAATATCCAAAAATAAAATTAGTTAGTTCTTAGCTCACACAATTTACCTGATACAGTTCTTTGGGAACGTGATAAAACACCAAAATGTTTTAAAATATCTTAGACAGATGAAATTAATCGAATGAGTGGAACTGAAGCTGAGAATTTAAGTGCAGAGATTATCAACCAAGGCCACTAATACACTTAAAAGGTAGTTCTAGATAAGTACTGATAACATCAGAGAATGGAGTGAAGCCCTGAATGTCCAAATTTATCAGAGATAGATTATAGGCTTCTTCATTTAAGAGAACACAGCTGATTTTCTTTTGGTTTTGAGCATTTACAAACACATTTTTAACAACAATACAAAAGAAAAACCTCAAGTGTGCTGACAGTTTGTATTTAACAATTTCTTCTGGATCAGGTAGAATATTTTATAAATAAATAGAAGAGCACACAAACCTCAAAAGGCTCTTAGTATGTTTCTGTATCATGACAACATACATCCCGATCAGCAACAAGTATTAGAGGCATTTACATTAATTTTAGAATATTTTCTAACTGTAAAAAAAAAAAAAAAAAAAATTTTTTAAAAGTCAGAAGTCTGGTTAAATAGACATATACATCAGTAACATACTCAAGAATCTGAAGATCTCAGGGAAGGAGGGGGACAGCAGTGCAGAGACTGACACTGCGAGGGAGAAGAGGTAATTAAAACTTTTTTAACCCCTACAAGTGTGTCACGGACCTAAAATGGCTGGCCAAAATTGAAGTACAGCATTAGTGTTGCTTTAACTACACAATAAGAGAAAGCCTGTAGGGTCATTTAAACTAAATTTAGAAAAAATTAAACAGTGGAATATCACCAATTGAAACCAGGAACTGTAATAAATAAATTACAAGCCACTAGCCTTCAGAAAAAGAAAAACAAAAAAGCCAGCTAACTGATTTTATTTTTTCTTGGAATTTCTCCAGTGAAAACTTTGCATTTTACACCAAGGACAAATAGAAAAAACAAATGTCAGGTATAGCCACACACACACAAAAAAAAAAAAAAAAAAAAAAAAAAAAAAGTTGGAAAATATAAAAATATAGAAAAATTTTCCAGTACCTTACCGAGAATATCCTTCCTCCCCCCCCCCCCTTTTACTAATGAGCACATCAGAAGCACTAGCCTGTCTCACTCACTGTGTAGGCATAAATACAAACACAAACAGAGCATGTAAAAGAGGGACATTAACTTAAATTGACTCAAGATGAATTAATGTCTTTCTATGAACCAGGCCAAACTTCTGAATTCCAAGGACGTTCTGTGAGCAGCTGTTAAAAAAAATTTAAATGCATGTGTGCGACTCCATGAACAACAAACCAACATAATCTGAACAAAACAAGTCTGTGTGAGGTGGCCTACCAGATTCTTGTACCCTAAAGAGCCAATGGTGTTCACTGCTTACACTAAAGTCTTGTTTTGGACCCTGTTGAGACCCAGGAGGGAAATAGAAAGAGGCATTTCTAATCAAATCTGACAAACGTGAAAGGTTTAACCCTTTCACCTACTGAAGAACAAGCATATTTAATCAATTTGAAAAGCACGGTTTGCTCACTAGAACAAAAGAATGCAGTATTCCAGGTTGAATGAAATCTGAGAGAAGGTGGAGAGTTCTGTAACTAACAAAGATACAGTATGGGCATTTTCTATACAATAACAATTTTATCTGTGCCTGTAAAACAAATAATTAGAATCTGTGGAGTGTAACACAATCTCATGTATACAATCCCACAGGCTGCGCTTCCATTAATTCTTCACTTTACTAATCCGTCAGACAAAGAGGATTTTGGAGATCAGCGGAGCAATATACAGGGATAGTGCTCACTTATATTGCAAAGACACTATTTATAGAGAACAGGACCAACAGGGCTATAGAAAAAAGCAGCAACACCTATATTTTTTTTTCTGGCATGGTAGCATAGGGTGACTTACTACAAGGCTACTGATTATTCCAAGCACAAACAAACAAAAAACACTTACAATCTCCTTGTCAATTCTTAACAATTTCTGGTTTAGTAAATAAATGTCAAGTTTCCTTGGGATAAGCAAAAATTGAAATGAGTTATTGAACTACCTCTATGTCTCAATAGGGATAAATTAAAGTCTTGGCAGTATAGTAATACACTTGTCAATTATTATTTTTTGTAAAGCTCCAACAAATTCCATGGTGCTGTACAATAGCTAGACTAGCAGACAAGTATTTGCAACAAGATGAGTTAGATGTAGTTTATAATGTACCACACTTGTAAACACAATAACATTGCCTGAAAACTACCATTAATTCATAGCTTTAATAAACAGCTTATCCAATCTTGCAAGGCACCTAAAACACTTATATGTTCTTCTAAATATCCACTGATAACATCAGATAATGGAGTGAATGCCCAAAACTTATCAAACAACTACTTATAGGTGTGTTTCATTTAAGAGAACACATTAGCTGATCTTTTGGTGATTAGCAAACATGCTTTTAACAACAATAGAAAGGGAAGACCTTAAGTGTGCTGACAGTTTGTAATTTAACAAGTTTCTCTGGATAACAGTGGATATTCAAAATCGTATCTATTGAGAAAATCCAGATTTTTTTTTCCCCGCATCTTAAATTAAAGAGCACACAAACCTCAAAAGGTTATAGTATCACTCTGTATCATGACAACATACAGCCCGCTCTTTGCCAATAATTAGTAACATTTACATTTTGGCATAGTTTCAAAACAGTCTAAAAAGAGTCTGGCTAAATGTTAGACATACGGTAACGTGCAAAAATAGAAAACAGTTAATCATATGTATGTGATCAAAGATATCATTGTTTGTCGTAAGCAAAGAAGAAGTACATCAGAACTTTTCTAGCATTTCCCAAGTTTTGCTTTGTCATACCCCAAACGCATGAAATGAAATGCGTTTAGAAACAATAAACAATGTTTTGCTAAGAGGCAGCAGATGGCATTTCGAAATAAGCACTGGGTCTGTTTTCCTCTCTGTACAGGACATCCCATCCCCACATCACAGCCTGTAATTAGAGCAAAACTATTTAAAGAGCCATGATCTTCCAAGGAGGGCAAAAATCACGACAAGCAATGTTCAGGGAAATAACAGACGTTGTTATAGCTCTGTAGCCAAGATATTACAGACAACAAAATCTACATCATTTTCAGTTTCCACTTTTTGTACTTTTGCAGTGTTATTCACAAAGTGAGAATTTGAAGTTAATTACTAATTAAAGGTCAAAGTAACCGAATTGGTAGCATACCAGTTCAGTTATTTTGGCCTTAAATTTTAAATCTTGACAGTTCTTATTTCAGTGAAAAACCCTGCCAAAGTGCTATTAGAAGTGTAATCACAATCACAAAACCAATAGCTAACCTGTGGACAAGGTCAGCTCAAAAGATCTAGGTTTGTTTCAGATAAGGATCTTGAAGTGTGTTTCGTCAAAAAAAAAACCACTCCAATGGAATATATACGGATTTT